CCTCCCAAGTAGCTAGGATTACAGGTATGAGCCACTGGCACCCACTTCTCCTTTACACTTGTTATTCTTTTCCATGTACTGGTTCCCTCCTACTGTTCTAACTGTCAAAAAGCCTCCTCTCATAACTACAAGTTCCTCCTACCCCAAGATCCTAAGACACCACCTGGATACGCTCCTCTCCTTGTCTTCCATATTCAGCTCATCAGCAAGTTCCAACAGCATCATTTCTAAAATACACCCTGAAATGTAATCATTTCTCGTCTTCCTCACTCTTACTGACCATATCCAAACCATTAAAACCTCTTACCTACGCGATCACAATTAACTCCCCATCTGGTCTCCCAGCTGAGAGAGTGAAGGGTTTTGTTTTTGTGAAGAACTGAACTACAAAAAATAGTACTGAGGATTTAACTCAGGGTCTCATGCTTGGTAGGCAAGCACTTTACTACTTGATCCATGTCCCCAGTCCTCAGAGTGAAAAATTTAAAAACAAAAATGAAAGCATGTTACTCTTTAGCTTAAACTCCCAATGGTTCTCATTTAGAATAAAATGCAAATGCCTTACCATGGCCTATACCATCATGGCCTTTATAGTATAAGACAGTTTCTGTTTCCTCTACAATATCTGTTTCAAGACTCTCACCTTTACCTCCCAAACTCCAGCCCCACTGCCTCCATTATGTTCCTCAAAATACCAGCTTTTTCCTATCTTATGGGATTTGTACATGTGGTCTTGTGTGGTATGCTCTTCTTTACCCATATCTAAGCTCAGAGTTGACCTCAGAAAGAGGTATCCTAACCACCCTGCTAACTATCCTATTTTATGTTCTTCATGCATGTATCAATTTACTGCTGGAGGCTGGAGGATAGCTTAATGGTAGAGCACTTGCCTAGCATGCAAAAAGCCCTGGACTCATTCCACAGAACAGTAAGGGGGGGAAAAAAGAAAGAAATTAATAAAATAAAAGACCAAGTAGATAAAATAGGTAAAGGATATGAACAGACAGTTCACAGAAAAGATGCTCAACTTCACTCAAAATAAAAAATATAATATGAAACTGCAGTAAGCCAACATTGTCTACCTATTAGATTGACAAAAATTTACCCTTTTTTTTTTTAAAGCAGTACTGGGGTTTGAGCTCAGGGCTTTATACTTACTATGCAGGTGCTTTACAGCTTGAGCCACACCTCCAGCTCAATGCATTACTTCGAGAAACTAAGGAAACAAATTCTATCAGACATAGATGGTGAGAGTGTACACTGGTATAAACCCTAAGATAATCTGGCATTACATATCAAAATTATAAATGCATATTCCTTCTTTCTTTTTTGCAGTGGTAGGAGCATTTGCCTCACCTGCTTGAGGCAAATGCTCTCCCACTGAGCTATTTCCCCTGCCCATATATACATATACGTGTATGTATATAATTTTTTTTGTACTGGGGTTTACACTCAGGGCCACATGATTATTAGGCAGGTGCTCTACCAACTTGAGCCATGCCCCCAGTTCTTTTTCCTTTGATTACTTTTGAGATACAGGCTCGCTTTATGCCTGGGCTGGCCTGGATTGCAATTCTCCTATTCACACTTCCCTCTAGCTGGGATGAGAGGCATGAACCATTATGCCTGGCTTTTTATTAGTTGGAATGGATGTCTCATGAACTTTCCACCTAGGCTGGTATCGAACCATAAGCCTCCCAATCTTGATCTCTACCTCTCAAGTAGGTTAGGATTACAGGCCAAACCACTAAGTCCTATATAGTTTTTAAGAGCTAAGAACCCTACACTGTTTTTCAAAGTTGAGAGTCACTGCTATAGAATTTCCTAAGCTAATCAAAATTATTTCCTATCCTTTTACAGGGCACTGACAAATACTGATTTTGGTCTCTATTTTAGGATTTGTTTTTGGCAGACAGGGTTTTGTAGGGAACATATGAATAATCCTAAGGGAATCTGGAGGCTAAAAGAAGAGTAGATACACTGAGAAAACACTGCAACAGAGGTGGCTACCCATCTCTAAAAACAGGTCTGCCTTGTCTATCACCTCCACTTCTCTCAGAAACAATGCCTTTAGCATAAGCATGTTCCATTCAAAGCTATCTGGGCTTCGTGGCTGTTCACTTAAGTCATCATTCTGACCTGCCCACAAGACTAGGCAAATCACAGGTACTAATTTGTGGCTTTAAATGAAGCTAGACTCTTCATTACCAAAGAGTCAGGCTCAATAAAGAGGAGTCATTTGGAGAATTGTAAAAATTCAAAAACCTACCACACAGAACTCTGTAGTGAACAGTTCAGATAGAATCATTACATAAACGTCCATACTCAGGACTTGGTAAAGTACTACCTTACCCTTTCTTCAAGACAGAGGTAGGAGAGGAAAACAATGTAAGTAAAAATGTATCTTTGTGATACAAAGGTTACAACTCAGGGTCTTAAACTTGCTAGGTAAGCACTCAATCACTTGAGCCAAGTCCCCAGCTCCTGCTCTAATTCTTATCAGCTACTAACTCTCCTCTATCAATCCTATGGTTAGGGCATGGATCTTAAGACATATCATTATTCCAAAGACCATTTAAGCAAACATTATTACTAGCATGTTGCTTATATCTGTAAAAGTATTATATGGGACCTCTGCCATAAGTGTTTTGCAGAATCCTCATCCCTGCTACACTCCCACCATTTTAACCTAATTATAAATGAAGGTAGGTCGGCATGGTGGCTCATGCCTATAATCCCAGCTACTGGGGAAGCAGAGATAGGAGGATTGTGGTTTGAAGTTTAGCAAAGCAAAAAAAGTTATCGAGACCCTATCTCAAAAAACAAGCCAGTTACAGGATAATTTTATATACTGACTGTAGTGCTAAGTAGGTTCATCTATAAGTGTGCTAAAATTGTATAGATGTATATATCTACACAATTGAATGCATGTAAAATCTAGTGGAACTGAATGAAGCCTGTAGTTTAGTTAGCATTATTAAAACCACAAACAAATGCCAGGTGCCTGGTGGCTCACACCGGCAATCCTAGCTTCTCAGGAGGCAGAGATCAGGAAGGTCACAGTTCAAAGCCAAATAGCTCACAAGACCCTATCTTAAAAAAACCCGTCACAAAAAAAGACTGGTGGAGTACCTCAAGGTGTAGGCCTTGAGTTCAAACCACACGACAGCAAAACAAAACAAAACCAAAACAAACACAAACCACAGCCAGGCAGTGGATCTCACATGTAATCCCAGCTACATGGGAGGCACAGGTGGAAGATTATAGTCCAAGGCCAGCCCCAGGCAAAAGAAAAAAGGACTAGAGGTATGCCTCAAATGGTAGATCCTTGCCTAGCAAGCACAAGACTCTGAGTTCAAACCCCAGTACTGCCAAAAGAATAAATAAATAAAAGAAGGTAAATTATTTAAGAGATGGCCTCTGCAAGAAATACTATTCCAAGCAAGAAGGGAAGGGAACTAACATTTACTGGATTCTTGTTGTGCGCAAGATTAATGCTTTGCATTCTTGTATTTAATTTCTTATTTGACCTCCAAAAAAATCCAATGAGGAAAATATTTTAAATCCCAAGCTGAATCTCACGTTAAATAAGCTACCCAAGATTATAGGATATGTTAAGTAATAGAGTGAAAACTTAAATCAATGTATGCCTACCTCCAAAGCCTGTTTTCTTCTACTACAGTAAGACATCTCTCTTTAATAGAAACATTTAAGAAGTAAAGAAAAATAAATATGAGAACATAAGTGCATTTTGTAAATGAAACCTCTGTATTCATCCACTCAACCAATATGACAAGAAACAGTTACTGTGTCAAAACACTGGGCTGACATGTTACACACAAACAAACTGAGACTTGAGAGGCTAAGGAACCTGTCCCAGGTCACACGGCTGTTAAGTAAAGAAGACAAACCTCAGACGGTCTGACTCTAGAGACATGCTCTGAACTACTTGACACTGGCACTCTTAAAATTTAAAGGAAAGGGCTTAGACTGCTTCCCTCTAGCTCCTCCAAAGCAGGAGACTGTGCTTTCTTTCCCCTTCTAATAAACCTAATAATTAAAAAAAAAAAAAAAAGTTTAAAGGAAAACGTGAAAGAAACATTATTTTTTCCACCACAGTGAAAAAAATTAAGCCACTTTAGTTTCACAGTCTTGAAAGGAGGCCTACTAATTGGGCCACTGGCTGAAAAAGGTTAATGTTTCTTCTTTTCTCAGAGTAATTTAAAAGTTTTATGCATATATGCTCTGGATATGGATAGTATTAAGTAATAACGGTTTTTATCTACCTTGATAAAGACTATTATCACCTGATACTTGTTTGGTGCTTTTTTAAGTTTTCCAAAATGTTTTCACACACATATTTTAACAGCTATAACCACCAGTAGCTCATCTTTATTCCTACAGGATAAAAAACAGTTCTGACACCTACCCAAGATCAATTGTATTGATGCCACATACAATTCCCTTCGCAAGGGATAGTCTTCCTCGTTAGCCACCTGGTAAATTCCTACTGCTCTTTCGAGAGCTCGTTCAAATATCTTCCCTATGTAACTTTCTGCTCACTGAAGTAGTCATTCCCCCCACCCATGACCACCAAATCCTTTTTTATACAACTAGCATAGGTTTTATTATCATTATTTATGTGTTTTTTTGTTTTGTTTTGTTTTTCCAGAAGACTGACTCTTTGAGGGCGGAGACTGGCTTTCTCATCTTTGTTTCCTCAGTGCTAAACTTACAGAAGGTATTCAATATTTTTAAAAATGCATAAAAGAATGAATTACGTATAAGCCACTAAAACTAGGAATTAGAATACCGAAGTACAAGTCCTATACTAAAATGGAAAGCAAGTTTAAATCTCAGATTTTTTTCAGCTAAAATAAGTAGTTTTCATTCAATTAAATACTCATTGCAACGACTACACTTCCTGAACAGTGTAACAGGTGGAATATTCTAAGAGTTCTTTAGAAGAGTCACAAAGAATTCCAAATAATTGTTATTACCTCCTCCATCATGACGTCCTGTGTAGCTGAGATTTCTCCTTTGGTTGCTCCACTGTGTACCAGATTCCGTAGCCGTATACAGAATTCTCTCATCTAAGACAGAAACTTATTCAGCACTCCAATAGTTATCCAAACTATAAGTAAGCCTAAGAGACCAATGCTAGTTGTACTTTGAAGTACAACTTATCCAAGACCCAGGACAAGGTTTATAGAAGCAATGGTTTCCCCACAACCAGTCCATTTAAACATACAGCAAGAAATACTTTCCATAAGGAGACAAGATATGGATTATTCCCTAAGAATACTAGGTGGGATTGCTCCTGCTCTGCAACTCACAGCCCCCTCTGCTTGTGCTTGGAGGAAGCATCTGGTTCCATGTTATCACCCTTAGAAAAGCAGGAGATGAGATGATTAAAAACTAAGTCACTCCTACAGAGTATTATTTAGAATTTTATTAGTTATCCACTTCACTTTCTCTGCCAAGTCACTTGCAACCATGGCTGTATTAACCCCCAGTACAGTTTTCATTTTTGTTGCTTTCAATCTTAGAGATGCCCAAAATAAAGGTGAGTCTGAAACTTAACTACAGCTAAACAGAATTTTGCTTCCTCTCAAAATGGAATCCAAAGCTACACTACTGATGATCTTTTAGCCTTTATCCAAGAATTCCCAGTTTCCTGGGTGGAAAATAACCTACTTTTAATGTTGGGGAACACACCTATATTTATTTTAAAATGTAATCTTTTCCCCAGGGATAACAGATCCAATTTTAGCTCATAGATAAGGACAGCAGATCTTGGTGGCTCCCAGTTCTCAAAAGAGATGTCTGGCTAACAGAGCAGCATCCTTATAGGATTCACAACTGTCCTCAGGAAAATGGGTTATGTAGAGAAGAGACAAGGATTCACTAAGAAGCAATAAAAATACAGCTCAGTGACAACATCAACTCTTCAATGGGTGGATAAACCACATTGACGTGGTCTGGGGAAGTCTAAACATTCTTTAAGATGTCTTCCAAATAGTTCTTTTTGGCTTCATTAGTACCTAAAATTGTCCCAGTCAAACTCTACTAGAACCAAGTGAGAGGCACAGCACCTAGTGTGCATGTTATCCATCCTAAATGAACACTGAACTTTTTTCCCCTAAGTACCCAGAAGAAAACATTAAAAACAACAGAAATAAAATGGGAGCTACATTGCTTTTGATGGTACCTTGTCAACTCAAAAGACCAGTTAAAAAGTTTAAAGTATGCTAACTCAACCCTACCCTAGTCCATATACTGTACCTTGTGATTCAGAATATCATTCATCCTTCTGGTTGCCTCTGTTGTATGAGATTCAGGGAAGCATTTTTTAGGGATAACCCCATATTTTTCTAAAAGAAAACAAATTTTAGTGTTCAGTAAGGTATATACTCTAGTATTAAAAAGCCTGGCAAAATATCCTTTGCTTTAAAAAAAGCTGTATTTCGCTGGTTTAATTCAGAAAAGCTTATGCTTTGCATTATTAAACAGGTTTTTGTGAATATATTTATCTATCTACCTTCAAATTAATTCTGTTCTTTTTATCTATCATACCTTGCAAATTGCTTAGCACATGAACTCTCACTAAAGAAAGCGTTTTGAACGAAGATATTTTCCAATAGTTACAGATTTTTTTGTGGTTCTGGGGATCAAACCCAGGACCTTGTATATGCTAGGTAAACACTCTACTACTGAGCTAACTCAACAGATAAGAGATAACTTTTTTTTTTTAATGGAAAGTTATTTCTAATTAATTCCACGTTTTTTCCTCCAACCCACCTTTCAGAGTACCTAGCCCTTTATCATTCATTTAAGAAAGGCACTTCATAGACGAAAATGTGAAATAAAGGCTCTTAAAGCTAACCATGTAGCCTTCTTGAGACCAACTGTACTCTGTATGCAGCCTATTCCTAACTATAGAGCTTTGCTCAGTCATGCTGGGTTTCAATGCCATTAGAGAAGGGCTCTTACCAACAATATTGACAAGCATATCCCATTGTCCACCATCGTTTGTAGGATTTGTAAGCAAGTATTGTACTAGCCTCCCATCCTCAGGCTCCTTTTTCTGGGCTGTGTCCACAAAAGCATTCAAAAAGAAATAACAGCGCTCAACCTAGAGTAAGGGGAGTTAAACAAAATTTAAAAAGTTAAGTAAAGTTAAAGTTATTGGCATTATCAATAGAGTGGAAGTCTTGAAACTAGCATTAAAGTTGGTAATTAAATAGTAGTATATGGCTTCGTAAGAATATTTGAAGTTTCTTCCTCATATACATATATATATATATATATACACACACATATACTACATTTGTACTATATATACATTCCAATATTTATATGAAACCTGATAGTCTTTAATCAATAAACATTTAATGGACACATATGTAATAAACATTTTAAAGATTTTAAATGGAATAAAATTATTTACTATTTTTCAGACAAGTACTACCAAGAGAGGGGGAATTATGTCCTTTTATTAAAAGACTAAATAAAGATGCTAAAAGGGAAGTTATCAACAAATTTTAAATTTTTTAATAAAGAAATAGTAAGCAGTAACGTGAGCCAGGAAACCTGTTATTTCACTGCAATCCACCTACCAACCAAAAGCCAGTTCTGGAACTTGGAGGGGTATGGCTCAGTGACAGAGTTCTTACGTGGCATCAAGCTATAGGCCCTGGATTGGATCCCCAGCACCACAAAAACTTTGTCTTTGAAAAGAACCAACTTTTGAAACTTTGGAAATAAGAATAAATGGTATCCCATCTCTAATAAAAGGGTAGGCTATAAGTGCAAAAGCAAGAAATGAAAAGGCAGTCCCTTCCTAGTTGATACTCTGAAACAAAAACAATCATATAAGATCAGTCCCATACCTTGTCCCAAAAAAACAGGTAAGACTGACTAAACTCAAATTCTTCAATATTTAATTTTTTCATGAATGGAAGTCTCATAACATTCAGACAAGAAAAGATCCAGCATCGTCCTGAAATAAAAAAGTAAAACAAGAAACTGGATGAATATTCACATAGATTACACTGCTCCAACTATATTTCTCAACAATGAACCTGTCAGGTGCCAGTGGCTCACGCTTGTAATCCTAGCTACTCAAGAGGCAGAGATCAGAAGGATGGTAGTTTGAAACCAGCCCAGGCAAATAGTTCACAAGAACATAGCTTGAAAAAAAAACCATCACAAAAAAGGGCAGGTGGAGTGACTTATGTGGTTCCAGTGCCTGTCTAGCAAGTGTGAAGCACTGAGTTCAAACCCCAGTGCTGCCAAAAAACAACAAAAAAAATGAACCTATGACAATATTTGGATAATTAAAACAAAATCAGAAAGAACAGAAAGATTCAAACAAAAGCAAAACCACACAGGTCATATTTATATATGCAAAGGTCTAATATCTTTAACACTTAAAAAAACAAAACTTTTAACACTTCACCTAAGAAATTACAGGGCTCAGGATGGGGCTCGGTGGAACGCTTGCCTGTTATGTGTAAGCCCTGGGTTGCCACACATACACACAACATCCATTATAAATCATTTAAGTAAACCACACTAGAAAAAAGAAACACCACTAGAAAAACGAACAAAGATCATGAATAGATCATTCAGTGACCAAAAAAGACAAATGGCAAAGAAACAATTTTTAAAGTTCATGTTGAGATATCTGTTAGGTGGGGAAACATCATTTTTTCAATTGATAATGACCAATATTGCAAGGACTTGGGGAAATAAGCATTGTTATCATTCTGGATGGGGAGTTAACTCAGTACAAAATATGTGACAACAATTTGGTAATGCCTCACAAAAACTTTTTAAAAAAAGTCTCTATTCTTTAATCTTGGATATAAACAATATATGCTTCAACAAAAGATGACCTTAACTTAAGTCAACTCCCTATCCCCCATCAATGAGTCACAGATGATAGTTGGGAGGGTGGAGGCAGGAGGATTGAGCCCAAGAGTCTAAGACCAGCCTGGGAAACACAGGGGGCCCCTGCCTCAAAAGTAATAATCATAATAATAAATTTTAAAAAATTAAGACGTGGGATAGGGGTGTAGCTCAGTGGTAAAGTGCTTGCCTAGTATATGCAAGGCCCTGAGTTTGATCCCTAACACTGAGAAAAAGATATGAAATAGCAAATTGTCTACCTATTAAAATCATGTTAACACATAAATTTATTTTTCCTACTTTTCACTTCATTTTCACAGATTCACTCTTTACGTACACCTTGATATCAGTGCCTTTCCATCAACAGACCCACTCTTAAAATCCAAACACATCATCTTTTCTCCATGTAGTTTGTTTCAATCACAACAATGCTCTGAATCCATGCTGTTCCTGAAAATTTTATACCAAGTGTCAACTATATAATCATATTCATCATTTATTCTGTAAATAATAATCAGGATCTCCACGATGGCACCACTTCCTACACTGATTTAAGTGATCTTTTAAAAGTCTATTTACAATGATATTTAACATTTCCATGTGAGGTCATGTCCTCAGAGAATACTACCTTCAATTTTTTTGCTTAAAAAATGGATTGGAGCTGGTGGAGTGACTCAAGTGATAAGAGCACACGCCTAGCAAGCGTGAGGCCCTGAGTTCAAACTCTAGTACCACTAAAAAAAAAAAATAGATCAATCAAATTCTGTAAGCAACCAAATCTAGCATGGATTGAGGTTATTTCAGAGTAATGTCTGCTAAAATGTACTCTACATCAAGATAAATTAACTTAGGTGGCCATTCTCAGTCTTTGTAAGGCCTTTAATATAGGGTAACTCTCTTTTCTGAAGAAAAATTCAGAGGAAAAAATTTTTACTTGTATTTGAGTATAACTTTTTTACTGATATGAAATTATTTTCATCCATATGGGTAAGTGAAAAAGGTAGGTATAAAAACATGTAAGGTACGAACTCATATTAAACCCACACATAGAAGACATGATGGATATGCAGAAAAAAAAAATTCTCCTATTGGTATTTTGCAAATTTTCTATATTGAACAAGAACAATTTTGTAAGCCAGGAGCCAGTGGTTCATGCCTATAATTCTAGCTACTTGGGAGGCAGAGATCAGGGGGATCACAGTTCAAAGCCAGCCGGGACAAATAGTTCTTAAGATCCTATCTCAAAAATACTCAACACAAAAAAGTGCTGGCGGAGTGGCTCAAGTGGTAAAGAGCCTGCCTAGCAAGTGTGAGGCCCTGAGTGCAAACCCTAGTACTACAAAAAAAAAAAAAAAAAAGTAGCAAGAAAAAAATGTAACTAGTGCTTCCAAGAGTCACCAGTGCCTTAGCATAGCTCATCTTTGCCTTGGTTTATCCATCTGTGTTCTGTGTGCCACGTCACAAGTTATTTGAATTTTTGTAAATCAAAGCGATACAACTTATAAGACCTTGACCTTTTCCAGATTAATATTTCCATTTCTAAATTTTTCCTAGGACAGCACTGCAACCTAAACTATGTAGGACTACTGTAACTTTAAAACTGGATCATTTGTAGCCTGACAGCTCATACCACCTCATCACTTTCTACTACAGCAAAACATTAATTATTGCAAGGTCAACTATTTTTTCCCTTAAAAATCTGAAAATCAATTTTACTGAAGTATAATTTACATACAATAAAATATATACATATTAAATGTATGCGTTAGCTCTAAGTAAGCAGTAATGTGCTTTCTGTCAATAGAGATCGGAAGTAATTATTAATTTTTTTTTTTTTTTTTTTTTGGTGGGACTCATGCCAGGTGCTCTACCATTTGAACCACACTCCTAACCCTTGGAGCAATTTCTAAATGGAGAAAGATTTCTAAAAAATCCTCTTAGTGCAATTTTGTTGTAAGAATGTTTTCCTTATTTGGACTTCTGGATGACCAATTTTTTACTGTGGATATTTTTCTGACAGCAGATAATAAAACAAGTGCTCTTAAACAGCAAGGCATGAGAACCTAATTTTAGGGTTACAAACTGGTCTACTGGTGGGAACTGAGCCTAAGAACACAGTAACTCCAGCTGCAACCAAGGAGTATATTTAAAAATAACATTTGATGACATTTTGATGTAATTGCGTTGAGTCTTTTTTATTTCATACATTGATATGTGGTTCTCAGGGCAATCCTGGAAAGTCTTCTAGGGCACAAACAGTTTTTGCACAGTCTGTTTTGTGATCCAGAGCACAAAACAATCGTGGGGCTGCAAATACCTAACACCAAGACAAAATGTTACGAACCGCACGAACTGATGACCATGGACTTGTCACTTCAGTCCTCAAACTAAATGGGCTAAGAAGCCAGAGAGCACAAAAAGCTCTTAGGTCTGCCTTTACGTGTGCCTATACTCTAGGAATTTACTACACGTTCTTCTTTATTATTATTATTGGTGGGACTGGGATTTAAACTCAGGGGTTTGCCCTTGCGAAGCAGGTGCTCTACTGCTTGAGCCACACCTACAATCCTCCTACAAGTCCTCTCAGTACAAAACCTCTGTCCCCGCAAAGCCATTCTTAAGACCCCAACATGGGAGGTACCTGGTAAGTCAAGTGACACATGCAAGAAGTTTAAGACCTCACCTGAGCTCTTCTGGTTGGTGACGGGTTTGCCTTCCTGAGGCACAACGTGCTGGAACACATGCTGGGCACCTTGCACCGTGGCCCTCTTCAGACAGATGTCCAGCAGGTCGTGGGTGGTCCCGACATTCTGGGCGAGGACGAACTGAGGGTCAGAATTCAGTTTCTCAATCAGAGCCGCTACCTTCTCCGAATTCAATCCTGTTGGGAACCAAAAGCGATTAAAACACCAAGCGCAGGTGCAGATGTTGGGGCTCCCGCGCGCCCGGGTCTAACTTGGTCAGCGCATCCTGGGGTGGCCGCTGCAGCTGGGCATCCTCTTTCCTCCAAAATGCTACCCCCCGCCCCCCCAGGCCGCTCCATCCCCGCCATCGCCCCTGGTCCCAGCTCCGCCTCCCGCGCAGTCGCGGGGCCTCCCGGAGCCCCCCGAGAGCAGCCAGCCCTGCGCGGGAAGAGCGGCGCCTCACCCGCGTTGTTCATGGTGCCCACGCTGCCCCGCAGGGTGACGTGACTTTGTGGGGGGGGGTGTCCTCAAGTGACTGCTGGAGTTCCGCGGACGCCCGCTGCTTTAGGTGGCCCGATCTGGCTCTCGCATCCGGAGCGCCGGAAAATGGAAACCGGCTGGCTGGTGGAGAGGCAGAGGTCCAGAGAAACGGGGTCCGCGGAGGGACAAAACTCCCCCCTCGCGTTGCTGACTCAGCGCCGTCGGGGCTGTGGCCCCGCCCCTTCCCCAGGGGAGGGCCGATGGGGGTGAGCTCGCTGGCGTGCCACGCGCGGCCTGCGGGGGCGCCCGGGCGCGCCCCAAGGCCAGGCCGCCCACGGCCCGGGTGGCGCCCGCGCCTGCGCCCTCCTCCGCCCTCGGCGATCCCTCTTCCAGCCACACTGGCGCCCTACCCGGATCGCCCGGCCTGCTCAGAGCCGGCAGACTGCGGGCTGCCATGCCGCACCCTAATAGCTCCTCTGCGTTCCAGCATCGGGAGATTGGCCCACTTAAGTCTTTGCACAAGCCAGACGGGGGCTCCAGGCTGTGGGGGAGGAGCTGCGAGACAGCCCCCAAATGAAGCACTTGTCAACGGTGCAGGATGGGTTGATGCGTCTCGAGAAATCCACCCCAAGGCTGTGCCTTTTGCTTTTTTGCACTTAGCTGGCCAATCTGTGCGTTTTCAATAGTAACCTGTTGCTTGGATTCCAGTCAGAACCAAGTTCCCCTAGTTGAGAAGAAATTGGAAACGAACTCTTTCCCTCCCACCCAGAAGCTACTATCCTGGTTCTACAAATACACATCTTTTCATTAAGAAAACTAGAGAATAGGGTGTGTAGCTCAGTGGTAGAGTGCTTGTCTGCCATGCACAAGGCTCTGGCGTTGATTCTCAGCCCCTCAAGAGGGAAAATAAAGAAAAGTCTACACGTTTGGGGATTCACGAAGTCTGTGGCTGGCTCCTGTTTGTCCCAGCATGGACTAAGGAGAATGACAGAATTCACTTTTACACATCAACACTGTTTTGCCAGTCTCTCTACAAAACCTGTAAATGATGCATGCCTCCTCCCTCACCCCCACCCAAGATAACTCTGCAGTTTCCAAAGGTTTGGGGAACCCACAGGAGGTAAAATAAATAAAATCTATCTTAACCCTGAAACCCTGCTATTCAAAACAACGAGAGTTTTCTGTGGAAGTTGGATTCTAAATCTTAGATTGAAAATCATCCCTGGTTCTAAGGAATACTGGTATCTGGAAAAATTCATACCCAGACACCAATCCATCATTTGAGAATTCACAGCCTCTGTGTCCCTGGAGAGACTTAGCTAAAGACTAGCAGTATGACATCGCAACTATCTCCAAGGAAGCTGGTCAACCATCCTATTCTGAGATTGTTCCAATATCTGAAGAAAAGGAACAAGCTAAAAATTATGCTGAAAGAAACCAGTCCTTTCACAAAATGATATTCTAGCTTCCTGTCCAATTCAAACCATAAATTTTTATTCAATATCTATCATATACCACGCACAGGGCAAGCTGATGATGATATGAAGACTAAAAGGCTTAATTTTGCCCTCAAGAAACACATGCTGTAATGGGAAAGAGGTACAAAACAACTCTTAGGTAATCCATACTAGCATGCAATAATGCTTTAGAAGCAAGGAAGAGACGTTAATTAGGGCCAGGGGTGCCTAAAAAAAAAAAAGAGGTGACCAGACTGGGGGTGTAGTTTAATGGTAGAGTGGTAGAGTAGTGGGTTTGACCCCCAGCAACTCAAAAAAACAAAAGAAAAAAAAATAACAAGTGAGTATAATCTGAAAGACTGGATGGAATTTTACAAGGCAAAGAATAGGAGAAGAGCAATCAAGGCCCCAGCAAAAGCCCAGAGACATTAAAGCACAAGCCATGTTGAAACCATTGTGCATCATAATCTGATGTGGTTAAGAACAAGGAACATGTTGAGATCTAGGCATGGTGTAGGACTGGAAAAGTAGGTTTGGCCCAGGATATGAAGGGTTTTAAATGCCACACCTGAATGTCTGGACTTTATCTTATACTTAATTAGAAGCCAAAAAAAAAAAAAAAAAGGAACTATACACTCAGATGTGTAAAGAAAAATCTGGCAGCATGGGGAGGGGAGAGATTCTGGAGATAGGGGAAGTAATTACAGGACTCTTCTAGCCGTGTACTTGAGAGTAACAAAAGCCTTAGACTGTGGAAAGAGAAGAGGCATAGATAATCTTGTTTTCAGTTGAACAATAGGATGGAAGGTCGTACTATTAACCTAGAGAGAGAATACAGAAAAAATGGCCTATTTGCAGATCGGTACTTAATTTGAGTTATGGCAAGTTAGGGGTCCCTACAGGAAACCCGGGAAGAGAAGTCCAGGAGGCATGTGAAAAGGTCTGGAGATTAGGTAGGACACATAGATTATACTTAGAACCATAAAAGTCAGCAAGGTTGCAGCAAGAAAGAGAGGAGGACCAAGGATAGCACCAGGCTGTGTGGTAAGCAGAGGCTCAAATCTAGTCCCAGCTCTGCTTGCCAAGCCACATATCCTGGCCCAGGGTTGTGCCCAATTAGAGTATGGTGTATCTTTTACAACTTCTTACAAGAATGCTGGCATTAACTCTGGAAACAGTAACATATAAAGAATGAAAACAGAGGAGACAGTGGAAACGACAGAAAGAACAATCGCAGAAGTTGGAGAGGACCTGAGTGGCTATGTCCTGAAATCCCAGAAAGGCAAGGAAGAGATGGTGAATGAGACTATAAACTTCAGAAAAGTCCAGCAAAATTGAATTTGACAACTGGGTCAGAGGCATCTTATAGAGGTCAGAACCAGTGGAAGGGTGGATGGGCAGAAGTCACATTGTAGTAGGTTGAGAGGGAGATAAATGTGAGGGAAGCTCTTTTGGGAGAGAGGAAAAACCTAATGCCTACCAGAGGATGTGGGGAAGGAACCAGTAAAGAAGAGAGATGAGCTTAAGTGTCAGAGATGGTGCAATTGCTAACATCTCAGGAAGAGGAAATGGAATCATGGCGGGAGGTGAGGGGACTTATTTTACAGCCACTGCCAACCTTGTCATGTCCATGCCCAGAGATTCCTATCATCGTCTCTGCCTGATCTACTCTGCCCTCATTGTTAGGGTGGAGCCCTTCGTACCAGCTTTCCACCCAGCAACTCACACCCATACGCTCAGCCCTCATGTGGGCACAAAGAGCAGCAGAATAAAACTGGTTTCCCAGTGGGTCCACCCCAAATGACCCATCCTGGAAGACATTTCCCAAAGAGTAGAGTTCTTTGGACCTCTCCCTCTAACTCTAGCCAGAAGGGATGTTGTACAACCTAGGGACAAGGACACCTTATGGGTGAACCAACTAGGAATAGAATTTTAGGTAGGCGCTCTATGACTTGAGCCACTCCACCAGTCCTAGGAACAGAATTTTAGCATGAAATCCATACTAAAAAAGAAAGTCCTTGCAAATCTTATGGAGCCGCACTATCCGCCATTGGAGATAAGCCTTCTGCCTACTGCTTTTGTGGGACTCCACCCAGTTAAAGCACACAAGCCAGTCTCAAGATGAACTTGTCATCTTGTGGCCCCTCCTTTGCTGTACTCTAATAGTTGAAATGAGTTGGTCAAGTGTCTCTTCTCTGATGGAAAAAGATCAGATTTTTACGTTGGGTAGAAGACTAAAGTAGGGACTAGTGAAGTGGCTCAAGTGGTAAAGCACCTGTCCAGCAAGCATGAGGTCCCAAGTTCAAACCCTAGTACTACCAAAAATAAAAAGTCTGAACTAGAATCTGGTATAAACATTTTGCAGTTCTATGAGACTCACTTACATTTAAGTGTTTCTGCAATAATTCTGAGCTTTGCTTTGGTCAGAAAACCTGATATTTCACCAGATCTGACAGTCAACTTCAGAATTCACACATTGACAGTCAACTTCAGAATTCACACATTGGGCTACTGGACTAAATTCAGCCCCTCGAAGTTGTTTTGTTTTTGACCTATATGGTGATTTAAAACATTTTTTTGAGTTGGGGGGTCTCACTATGTAGCCCAGGCTGGTCTCTACTCACGATTCTCCTGCCTTTCCCCAGTGCTAGGATTATAGGCATGTACCACCATACTTGACATAATTTAAATTTTTTGTGTCATAATTTAAAATTGAGAAGTTTTGTATACAAATCTGGGTATCTGGCTTCTCTTAAAAATATTGTCATTTTCCTATGGTAGTCATTTCTCATCAAAAGCAAAAACAATAAGTCAAGGGGTCCTCATGATTTTCTTTATATCTCACTTGCTTCACTCATTTACCTTTCTTGCCTATAGATATTTGAGTTTTTCAATCCCTGATGTAAAGGGCCTAGGTGGAGTTTGGGAAGATTACCTCTCCCTTCCACCTTCATTCCCTCCATTACCCTTATCCCTGGAATGAGCAAAGCCAACAGGAGCAGAGGCTTTGAGGTACTGGCTGCTGGGACTTTCTGAGTCCAAAGGAGCCCATATTCCTTCAGAACAATTGTCCTCCTGGGTATGGCATCCATCCCAGGTGAACTGGCAGCTTTACAACTTCTACTTTTCCTGCCACTCCTAAATTTCATGGGAGCTTGACTCAACATTTGACTCCCCTCCATAAGCCCAGAGAGCTTCAGTTTTAGGTTTCAGCATATTCTACATTAGTTGTAAATTATGTCTGGGTTGTTTTGTTCTTTGAAACATTATCCAATGTTCTTATATGATGTTGTATCTGCAGGATTATACCTGCCTCTGGATATGACATTTCTACCAGTCACTGTTCTTGGTGCTAACAATTTACAGAGCACTCCAGGCAGAGGACATGCCACATTGCAGAGGCAGAGGTTTGAATGTGCTTGGGTGTAGCTCAGTAATAATGAGAAAATCTAGTCTAGTTTTATGAGTACAGTCATCATTGGTATCTGAGGGGATTGGTTTTAGGACCCTCTGAGGATGCTCAGTTTCTTTATATAAAATTGCATAGCATTTGCAAATTATCTATGCAATCCTCCAGTCTACTTTAAAATCATGTCTAGATTACTAACAATACATACCACAACGTAAGTAGTTGTTACATGGTATTATTTAGAGAATAATGATAAGAAAAAGCCTATCAAGTCCA